CCAGGCATGCAAGTGGTGCACATATGGGCATACAGTCTAACATATATCAAAATAAGTGTAAATAAATTAAGAACACACACACACTCACACGAAGCAGACAAGCAATCCTAGAAGCACCCTCATTCAGATAGATTTGGGGAGGCTTCCCATCCCATTCCTAAATGCAGTTTGAGAAATTGTATGTATTTTGATTAACTATATTAATAGTAATAATTAAATGAGATTAATAGAATATAAATCTATGGGATTAAATATATTATCTTCTTACTGTCTTGGTGTACTCAAGTGTTGCTGCTTGTTCTCAGCCACACAGAAAAATAAACATTCTTGGATATAAACACACTTTAAGTGTTCTGTATTGGAAATAACAGAGGTTATATCATTTTAGTGTTTTTATGTAAACAAATATTTACATGTTTCTCATTTCTTATATTATTCATTCACATTTCAGGTAAGACTGAAAAGTTTATAAACTTTATTGCCATTATTTTATTTTTAAACATTTTTTGGAGAATTTATTACATGAGTACTGTATTAATAACATTTCTAACCCACCCTCTCCCAGCTGCAGTTCTTCCTGTGTGTCCCCTCATATTCATGACCTTTTTTCTTTTAATTATTATTGTCACACACACACACACACACACACACACACACAAATTCAATCTTCTGACTCCATTTAGTCTACCCCTAGATGAAGAGCTATAGACAATTATTGATTTCATAAGAGAAGAAGAATCAAACTTCTCCAGAGATAAGAACCTTTATAGATTATCTAATCCTAAGTGGTCATTTTTAAATATATATAATTATGAGTGTATAAATATACAAAATTATAACATAGTATATTTATATTTATAAATATAATATATTTATATAATTATTTAAATACATAAGACATAATTTATATTTATATAAGCATATAAATAGAAATTATATTTATAAACATTTAAAAATAATATAAATATAATACATTTGCAAATAAATTTATATAGTTATGAGTTTATATAAATTTTAACCAACAAAAACTTCATTTTACTTCTTACAGACTTCACCATTCAAACATATGTGAAGAGATAGTGTGTAATGATCTGTAGCTCCAGCACTCAGAAGAAGGAGGCAGGAATATCAGAAATTCAAAGTCAGGTCCCCATATGCCTGCATGTACACATGTGCAAATACTTGTACCCATAACATACACATACACAAAATTTAAAAATTGTGTATTCATTAATTAAAACATAATTTGTCATTTAGCGTTGCTTTCAAGCATCTAGTAAATTGGAGTTATAAGTCTAACAAGTGAGATCTTTTTAATGTTTGCTAAAGACTGATTTGCATCACTCCAAAATTTATGTACTGAAGGTCCGCCATGATGGTACTTGAAGGTGGGGTCTTGAGAAGTAATTAGGTTGAAACCTCCACTATCAGATTAATGTTTGCATGACAAGACAGATAAAGGCAGTGAGGAGAACAGGAATTCTCTATTTGTTTCTCACAAGGATGGGGGCAAGGAGGCTGTTGTCCATGGCTCAGGATGTAGTTAGTCCTTGCCTGGCACCAGATCTTGCAGTGCCTGCCTTGCTTTCTGACCTTTAGCACTGTGAGTCAAACCCAGGGCTCAGTTACAGCTCAGTTTCTTACTTGTCTGTTACTTAAGTTACTCAGTCTATGCTGTTATTGCTGCAGCAACACAAGCTATGACCTTTAAAAAGTATTTAAATTTTTATTACATCAAACGGACATGTTTAGCTTTTGAAATTATTTAGCATATTCCAAACAACCTAAACTATGAAAAAGTAAACACTCTACTTGGGGTAATGTAATAATCATAAAATTTACATAACTCATTCTTTTAGCTAAGAGAACTGGACTAGAGTGGGGCCTATGGTGTTGTGGAAGAGCACAAAGAATGTTTTTATGCCTTGGGTTTTAATTGTCTTTTACTATAATCGTTACAGAATACTGTATGTTAAAGTTTGATGCTATAGACAACTGTATAAGATTCTTAACTATCTCACTGATTTGAAGACTTAAACTTTTTTGAAATTCCAATAGGTTTCATGAAAAGGAGCTCCCAAGACACATCATCCAGTTTGACCAGAACCATTTGTTGAAGATGCTGCCTTTTCCCCAATCTGTATTTCTCTCTTCTTAATTAAAAAACAAACAAACAAAAAACCCCAAAACAGGTGTCCATAGATATGTGGATTTATGTCTGGGTCTTCAATTCGATTCCATTCATCAACATGCCTGTTTTTGTTGCAATACCATGCTGTTTTTATTCCTACAGCTCTGTAGTATAATTTGAGGTTGGGATGGTGATACTTCCAGTAGTTCTTTGGTTATTCAGTTTAACTATCCTGGGTGTTTTTTGTTTTGTTTGTTCTTATATGAAGCTGAAGATTGTCTTTGCAAGATCCGTGAAGAATTGTGTTGTAATTTTGATGGGGGTTTGCATTAAATCTGTACATTGCTTTTGGCAGGATGATCATTTTCACTATATTAATCAGTAGGAATCCTACTGATCCATGAGCACGGGAGATCTTTCTAACTTCTGATATCTTTCTCATATTCTTTCTTCAATGGCTTATTTTTTATTTTTTATAATGGAAGTCATTCTTTTACTTCCTTGGTTAGAGTTAATTGAAAATATTTTCAATTGTGAAAGGTATTCCGATTTCTTGCTCATCCCATTCGACATTTTTATATAAGAAGGCTACTGATTTTTGTGAATTACTTTTTGTATCCAGCTACTTTGCTGAAAGTGTTATCTGCAGTCAAGATTCCAGGGTTGGAATTTTTAGAGTCATTTATGTATATCATCCCTGTTGTGGGGTATTCAGCAGACAAGACTGCTCAGGCACAGGTTTATATCAATAGAAAGTCTTTATTATTCACCCGGGGACTACATTGGGTGTTCGTGATCTCAATGTAGCCCCGAGTCTTTCTCAGAGTGAGCTTTCAGGCACCCAAAAATTTCTCAGTTGATATACTTCAGTTAATAAGAGCACTGAGCCAAAAGCAGAACCCACAGAAGCTAAAAAGCAAGGTTAGTACATTTAGAGACTTCCCCAGAACTATGGACTTGATGGATTAGGTCTTTGTTTCCATTTGGGCAGGTGGTGGTGTCTATGTGCTGAGTTTTACAGCCTGAATGGTACTTCCATCATGGAGTCAGCTGTACTATGGTCTGGGGACCTACTACAGTCTGGGGCCTGTTATAATCTGCAAACAAAGATACCTTGACTTCTTCCTTTCTAGTTTGTATCCCCTTGATTTCCATTAGTCGTCTATCTCTCTTGCTAAGACATCAAGTACTATACTGAACAGGCATGGAGAGGGTAGACAACCTTGTCTTGCTCCTTTTAGTGGAATCGAGGTTCTCTTAATTTTAGTTGATGTTGCCAGTGGTCTTGCTGTAATCTGTCTTCATTGTTTAGGTATGTTCCCTATATCCCAAATCTGTCCAGGACCCTTACCCTGAAGGGGTGTTGGATTTTGTCGGAGACCTTTTCTGCAACTGATGAGAAGACCACATGGATTTTGTCTTTTATTTTGTTTATATGTTGGATTACATTTAACCATAAATGTGATAAAGCCTAGTTGATCTAATTTTCTCTCTCTTTTTTTCTGTTCTGAGGATCAAATGCTAGTGTACATAGATTTCAAAATCTGTAAGGTGCAAGTGCTAATTATGTTAAGTATGTTATTACTGTTTCATCCTAGTGAACCTCTAACATTTGAAACGGGTAGTGTCTTAGTTAGAGTTTTGCTGCTGTGAACAGACACTATGACCAAGGCAACTCTTATAAGGACAACATTTAATTGGGGCTGGTTTACAGGTTCAGAGGTTCAGTCCATCATCATCAAGGCAGGAGCATGGCAGCATCCAGGCAGGCATGGTGCAGGAGGAGCTGAGAGTTCTACATCTTCATCTGAAGGCTGCCAGGAGAAGACTGGCTTCCAGGCAGCTTGGAGGACGGTCTTAAAGCCCATGCCCACAGTGACACACCTATTCCAACAAGGCTACACCTTTGAATAGTGCCACTCCTTAGGCTAGGCATACTGAAACCACCAAAGATAGGAAAAACAGCTTGAGAAAGTACAGTTTCCCTTATCTGTTATTGGTAAAAGTCTGAAGCTGACAGATACTGGAGGAAGCAAACATATCACAGGGCATCCGGCTGAATCACACTTCACATGCCTTGCTACACCTCTGGGAGACATCTTCTGATTCTCCTGGAGTTGGGTTAACCACTCTCCTTTAGGTATCAAAATTAAAATGAAATTAAACGCCAATTTAAAAAATAGGCTTGAAGAATAGGTGGAGATGGCTCAGAGTTTAAAAACACTGGGTGTTCCTGCAGAGAAAATGAGTTCGATTCCCAGAAACCACACAAGCTTCTGTAACCCCAGTCCTAGAGAGCCAGCGTTCTCTTTGGGCCTCCAGGGGTATTGCATACACATAGTGGGTGCACAGATCACCTGTCCACAAAATGCCCAGACGTATAAAAGCATTGAAAATGGCCTTGCTCAAATTCTTACCATAATAGCCTTTCTTAATTGCACCTCAAAGCGCGTGACTCACACCCAGGTCCTTTGCCATTGTAACCACTCAGCACACAGTAGGCCCTCAGTCCAGCTCTGTGGCATGATTGGCTTGCATGCACTCAAGTTATGCTCGCTTGGTAACACGAGCAATACTAACTCGTGAGCAACACTGCGGCTCTTCCCAGACCTTGGGGGCGAATTCGGGCTGCCACCACGGTGCAGGCGACGTCCACCACCTCTCCTTGAGTCTGCAGTCTCCTTCTTGGGTCGTGGGGTGGCGACGGTTGCGTCGCCGTGGAGACCAGCTCGCTGTGCGGGGAGGGAACTACATTTCCCAGCTACTCCGGTGCGTGCGGCCGGGTGCGGCGCGGGGGGCAAGTGCACCAGGCCCGCTGCGCACCCGGCTCCGCTCCCCGCCGTGCTGGCCGCCCGCCCCGGCCTCCGCCTGGGGATGAGGTGGGAGGCGCTAGAAGCCACTTAGCTACAGCCTGGCGCCCGATGCGGCGCTCGCTCGCTGCCCCCGCCACCGAAGCGCCCGCCAGGCACAATGCAGCACTGAGGCAGCGGCGGCTGCGGCAGTGGCGCGGGCTGGGAAGGGGCGGCCGGGAGCCTGAGCCCGGGGCCGGGGCACGAGCAGCTGAGCGCCGCCACCATGCAGGCAGCGGTGGCCGCGTCCTTCTGGCTGCTCTGCGTCTTGGGGACCTGCCCCCTGGCGCGCTGCGGTCGGGCAGGTAAGTTCGCAGCTGCCGGGGCGTCCTGGACTCTGTGGAGCCCCGAGGCTCCCCGAAAAGCCGCACCCGCATTTCCACAGTGCGCGGGTTTCTATTTTTATTTTTTGAAAGGCGGGGAGGAAGGGGTAAGCACACATGTGTGGGGGGACACGAGGATGCATCAGCAATCTGGGGTCAAATGCTTTTTTCCCCTTTCCCCTGCTGAAGAAGAGTCTCCTTCACAAGAATGGGAAAGGGGTGCCCTGTTTCTGGACCCGGAGATGCTCTCGAAAGAGCTGGTCCAGGGCTCTCCAGCTGGTGTCTCTGCGTCCTTCGCAGATGGGTCCGGGAGGGAGGAGGCGGGGGAATTTTCGTAGGGGTGATGAGGACCGCAGGATGGAGGACTGTGGGTCAGGGTCACGATTTTTTTTGCCCTTTCTCTCCACTCTCTCCTTCCCTCCTGCCTGCCTGCAAGGAGACGCCTCACCGAGAGAACTGGAGAAGGGGAACGAAAACCGCTTCCTGGAGCGCCAGAGCATCGTACCACTGCGCCTCATCTACCGCTTGGGCGGCGAAGACGAAACTCAGCACCACCAGCTCAACACACGGGTGCGGGGCGACCCTGGCGGACCGCAGGTGAGAGGCGGGGTGCGGGAGGTGGCCCCCCCGCTGCAGCCCAGCGACCCCGGCTTTGCTTAGGGTTGCCCTGGAGACGCGGTGTACCAGGTGAAAAGAGCAAAGTCCTAATGCGACTCCTGCACGATGCTTCCCGGTGCAAGTGCAAAAAGGAGGAAAGGAGACAGAGGAAAAAAGGAACCAAAAGAAACGCAGGCCAAGGCTTTGTAGAAGCCGTAGGGGTTGGGGGTGGCGTTGGGTGCTCCTAGTAGCCCTGTAACCTGAGCTAGGGATAAGAGGCACAGACCCCATCTCCTTAGTCAAGCGAAAACTGCACTGGGGAGGAGGAGATTCTATTTAGACAGGATATGCATCATCATCTTTGTTGTTTTAACTCTGAGAGAAGACAATATACCCCAAGATAATTACTGTAGAAAGAAGAGAGGAGAAGGAAACTAGGCAACCCAAAGAAACCAAACTATATGGTAAACTAAACTACATCTCAAAATCCCTTGGTCATCTAGATTTGTGAACACCAGAGAGGTTCAGTCCTAACTTCCGAAAACGGGTCCTCCTCACCTTTTCCACTGTTGTAATTAGGGTGGTATCGTTTTATTGAGCACTTAACTTGTTTTAAAAACTAATTTATTTCAATACCGGCATTTTAGTCAATTCCAAACATCTATAGATATGAGTGAGTACTGGCTAATTCCAGCAAATATTTTTGGGACCATATAAGTGTTTTTATGTTTGTATAGATCAACCAGACAGTTCATTCGTCTGCAAGTACATCTAAAGCTCACGTAGTTGAAACTTGTAACTTTACTTAAGTAAAAGATAATCTGGGCATTTTCACATCATAAGTACATTTAACACTAACATAATTGTGATGTGATAATGTACTTACTTTTTCACATGTGTGAGATATGTAAAGAGTACAAAATATTTAAGTCTATATTTGAAGTCAGATAATTTGCTCCATTAAAATTTTGTTGACATAGGTAGAAATTCAGGGTAACTTGTAGTATCCATTGATGTTAGATTAATGTAGTAGAAAACCCAATATGCCCAGCCCTTAATGAAGGATTTTATTATCTGAATTAATGTTTGGCAGTTGCCTATTTCTATTTTTAAATTTTGGCTTGTTTCCATGGAAAACCTGCAGAAGGGAACCTGTGTTTTATTTTTCAGTTAGTTAATAACTATTCCTGTGAGAGAATATTTTGATGCTTGTTTGTAGCCTTTGATTAAAAAAATCTACATGCACGTAAACTAAACAGAGGAGTATAGTGAATCCTAACTTGATAAATTGGTAACTTACAGTCTATCTTGCATTTTTTCTGCCTCCTACTGGCCTTCTTCCCCTTTCTGTATTTCTTTGAAGCAAGCAAATGATGCTTTCTTTATTAACATTTTCAGTAATAAAACTCTGAAAGGTAAATGTTATAGTAAAAATGTGACTCTGTATTGCCACAGTAAAAATAAGATTAATTCTTTGATACTATAAAGCAACCATTCTCTCAGAAACACTTTTACTTATTTATCTCGAAAATAGGCTTATATATATATATGAATATATATATTCATTTTGAGCCAGAGCTAAAATAAAGGGCATACCTAGTTTATTTATGTCTCTTTTAGTGTATGCTTTTGTTTTTATTTTAATTTGCCTTGTAATTGGTTCTTACTTTTAATTTTCCTCGTAATTTATTTATTGAGAAATGAAGTCTTTCATTCTGTATAGAGTTTTTTTATGGTCAGGAATTTGCTGATGTAGACAGAGTGTTAGAACAAGTCCCAGAGTCTTTGTGGGAAGGGAAGGAGGGATGGAGAGGAGCAGAGAGAGGGACATGAAGGAGCACACTCAGGACCTCTGTCTCTGCCTCCTGCTGACCATGGCTTCACGCCCGCCCGTCCACTTTATGATGCTGAATGGCCACTACTTTTGGAAAAACAGGCTATGTTTTCTCTCAGTGTTCCTCAAACACCACTTCAGATATGTTTGCACTCTATGGGCCTCTCCACTTGGGGCAGAAGATACGGTAGGCCCTTCACAAGTGAACTTTACAGCTGAGGTGAATTGTTTGCTAGATCTTAGACTAAACAACATGTATAGGTTATTGATCTGAGTCAGAAGAGGGAGTAATGCTATTTATAATTATAGCAAATTATCCTTGGTATCTAAAGGTACACACAGCACATCTTGATATCTCTGTCTCCCGGGGAGTCACTGTACTTTACCAGCATCCTTAAATTGTAGCAGGACACCACAGAGAACTGATAGAATCTCAGACCAACATTTCCTACAGTAAGGAAACTAAGGGTTTTTCTCGTCTCTTAGGCATTCCTTGTTTCCAGAGAGCTATAATTTAACCTGAAAATGTGTTGATTTTATATAGCTCTTTTTATTATGATTATTATTATTATTTTGGTAAGCAGAACATTTGGCGCCATAGGTACCCGTGGATATTTTAAGCATTTTCCTTTGTATTTCAGAAATAACATTTGGATGATTTTGTGTGTGTGTGTGTGTATTTATTGACTCAAAAAGAATTTATTCACTTGAGCTCTTGCTAGTTAACATTTTAAAATAAATCAAGGCTATAAAGATTTAGAAATAAAAGACACAATTCAGCCTTTAAGGGGTTTACAGACAGCTGGGAAAATGATGAGTGGATGAACAATTACTCTTTGCCCTTCAGTCTTGAGGTGATTACAGAGGACTGTGGAAACAGCGGAAGCCCAGCACTTAACCCCACAAGGAGTCCCTGGGCTCTCCCAGGAGGTGCTGTCTTCTTGGTTACATTACAGAGAGGAAGCGGGCATATCTAGCAGAAAGGGACAGCAAGTCCAGAGATACATGGAAAGCAGGACTTGCCTTTGTTGACTGCAGATGAGATTTTGGGGACCAATATGAAAAGAATGTAGTTTCTAGATGCTGCAGCAAGTTCTTTGATGTTCTGAGGAGTTTGGACTTGGCTCTGCAGGCTATTTAAGTCTTTTGGCAAGGAGGAGTAACTGGTTAAATTCATGATGGTATCATCCTAGTGTTACAGAAGAATAAGAGTGAGCAGGCTTATTATTCACTTTTACTCACTGATAAATTCTAGCTCATATCATTAAGCTTTGTAAGAGCTAAGCTCCCAAACATACTGAGAACACTGGATGGTTAGCATTTTAAAAGCACCTAGATCAACGCTAGGCATACAGTGAGTCTCTAGGAGTCTTTAAGTCACAGTAACTCCTTTGGGCAGCTGGAGGACTGTTTAGAAATTTTATGACATCATTTGAATGCAAAATGATGCCCTCATTATCTGAATGTAATACATCCCCTGAAGTTACGAATTACTCTTTTTTTTACATAATGCAGTTCAATGGAATAGCCGTAGAAGGAAGAGACCTTATAGGCCATTCAAATTAGTTCAGAAATTACTTCTTACTTGATAGGCTCAAGCTATTGACCAAGGGAAGGTAGTCACCACTGTAGTCTTAAGTGGTTCCATTCCTGAAGATCTCAGAGACTAGGTGAGTATCCCATTTCTTCTATTATTAATGTGAGCCTGTTTCAGTTTTCATCCATAGATGGGAATATGAAGCTTTTATTTTAGAGGAAATTTCATTTTAGTTCTGCTTGAATAGTGACCGTTTAGTGTAAAATGGTGATTTTACTGATCCAAGTCCATATTGTGAGAGGGTTTTTTGTTTCTTTGTTTATTGCATAGTGAGTTACTCCAGTGCTCACCGATTTTTATTGTCAATGGGGAGATCACCTTGTGTAGAAGCTCATTGTGTCATAAATACTAGAAATGATAGTCAAAATAATCATAGCTGGTTGTTGTTGTCTTCAGGGTCGTCAAACATGAAGTAGTCCCAAGGATAGCCCTGGAATATTCAAAATATTGAGGCTTTTTTTTCTTTCTTGACAGTATTTATGCTAAAAGAATTGCATGTTTGTGGATAGTAAAGCATAACATATATTTTCATGAGTTTGTATAAGGTATCATCTACTGAGCTTTACTGATGGTTTAATATTGATAACCCTGTAATTGCTATCTTAGATATGCTTATTAATGATTGCTCTTTTGCCAGCTAAGCATCACAAGTTTACTATGGCACCAGAAATGGGTTATCTGATAACTTATTTTGTTACATGGTTACCTTTAAATTCTGTTATTTATTTTAAACACACCCAATGATTTTTATACTTCTGCATATAACATAATTTCTTCTATCAGAAGTATTGTTGTCTGCAAACACAAGATCTACTTTCTCCCATCTTGTCCTCTGCAAAGTATTACAGCTTCTGAAGGAGTCGTCAAGTGGGGACAAGGACATGGATCTATAACTCACCTCCTTTTAAAACCATTAGTGAATGGAGCAAAAAGCATAGTGAAGGCAAGGTAGCAGCAAAAGGTGTGCTCTATTTTTTTTTTGAGAATATGTGTATATATGCCATGTAATAGGTGAGCTGTCCTTAACATCGTGCTGCTCCCTCCGAGGGCACTGAGTCAGCCTGGCAGTCAGTTGTCTGCAGTACAGTACCCCTAGTGGAAGAGGGCTCCTAGGAATTATAGCTTTCATGGTAGCTTGACCTTTTTTTTTTTTCCTAAACGTACATTTGTTAAACTAAGTAGCTCAATATTAATAAAGTTTTGCCATAAGCATCAGGAAAGAAATATTTCACAGTGCATTTTTGTTTACCTACCAATTGAATAAAGTAAAAATAAAAATTATAATATCCCTTAAATATTTTTTAAAACAACCTTCTTTTAATTTTTAGTTTTACAACTCTCTCTTTCTCTCTCTCTCTCTCTCTCTGTCTCTCATCTATGTAGTGTGTATATGCATACGTGTGTGTGTGTGTGTGTGCGCGCACACACACACGTGCGTGCACATGCATGTGTGTTTGTACCATGGCACACATGTGAAGTTCAGAGGACAACATTATATAGGAGTCATTCCTCACTTTTTATCATGTAAGTTCTGGGAATTGAACTGTAAGCATCATTATCCACTGAATC